AAGCTCACCTGCCCCAGAAGATTATCTCTTTTCTTCAGTAAGCCCCACGGGGCAATTCCAATAGTGACGATTTTGGAACGAACACGAGATGCCGTACTTGAACCATCAATTGCTGCCGCAACTTGGCGCACCACACCCGCGTTGATACCTAGATAACAAAACAGTACCAAGACCATTTTTGCGGAACGATGTAAAGATCATCATGGCCAAAAGTTGGAGGAGTGCGCCAGGAACGAGCAAAGCACGAAGCCTTACGAATGAAGAAATATCTACAACAATACTAGCAAATGATTACATGAGAGAAGCCATCCTAAAATAAAAATCGACGTCAGAAATTAACTCTTTTGTACACGTATACTAACCACAAATTAGATAAGGTTGAAGTTGGAAAATAAAATAATTACCCGCAGTAATAATCCATGCACCCGTAGTTTTTGCAGCTTTGAGTAACCCTTTTCGAAATACACGTGCCAATTTTGGTTGTAAGCTAAAATCAACAAAATATTCTTTTATTTGAAAAAAAAAAAACCTTTTTGAAAACTTGACATGCTAACGTGAAACAAAGCATTTGCATATTTTCCGACAAACAAAAATGCCAACTTATAGTAGTAAATACATATATCAAAGTAACTGGAGAAGTTGCCAATTGCAGGGGTGGAAAACCCGATTACAAACTAGCAGCTAATCCAAGTATTTTTCCACATGAAAGCCAAAATTTGAATTTTCTCCGTATTCGCTTTTTATAAAAGGTGAATCACAACATAAAGGAACAATTAACGTAAATTTTTACACTTATTCGCCGCTTTTAAATATTATAAGACAAAATCTTTGATGACAATGGTGTGTATATCGGCAAAAAAGAGACTTACTCAAAATCGGTCATCCCGCCATGCACTGTTATGATCAATTTTGGAGGTGGCACATTCCATACTGTCTCGAATAAGGTCATAATATCAGCTGGATCTGTTTCTACAGTCAACCTGAGAAACTGCGCCTTATATGGATGAGGGCCACCTGAAATATTCATTCATCTTTAACATTCCTTAAGAATTTTACGGCTCAAAATGAATGCTTATCTTCGCAAAAAAAAAAAAATAATTTATAACATTTTGATTTAACAACAATTACCACAAATCTACATACTGAAGCAATTTTCTAGAATCGAACTAATGCGAGATCGTCTTGCTCGATTTGGAAATTAAAACCAAATTCTGTATTAGCAGATTTCAAGCAGACCAGAAAGGAAGAAAAAAGCAACCTTGAAATTCAATTGTGCCGTAGGCGTCCGTTGGAAACAACGCCGTATGCGTTCTTATGGTCCATTTCTCGCCATTCCTTCCCGTTCGCCTCTGCAAAAAATGCAGGGAAAGAGTCAGCTATAAACTCTAAATTGCATTTATTTGGAAATTCCCTATGCTCGATTTGTCTTTTTTTTTTTACAGAACCTCATGAAAAGAGCTGTTAGCTTGTTTATAAGTAGCCCTCGGTAGCTTTGTCAGCAGTTGGGTACATGTTGTTATATGCAGTTGCTTCAGCTATCTCTGTGTGCTTTCGCCTCTCGTAAAAAGTGAAATGCGAAGGGAATTTTGATT